TTGTTTCCTGTACGCAAGTCCAACACCATGAATCTCCAATGTGAAGTTTTCCTGTGTTTGCCATGGTGTCATGAGTTTTTAAAACACGTTTTCAGTGTTTACGCTGTCACACCGAGAAACCAGGCTGCAAATTCTGTCAATTTTTAAATTAAGTAATATGTTAGCGTAACTAAATTTAGAGACTAGTTGATAGATAAATCTGTAGCTGTAAGGAATTGAAATGGTAGATTTTTTTTTTTTGCACAGGTTTTATCTTTGTTCAGTGCCAAATTACAGTGATAAGACCTGTAATCAGTTATAATCCTGGCCCTCTAATCACTCATTTGCTTGTGATGATGGTGTGGGGGCAGTTCAATGTTGGGCAGCAGCTTCAGGAGCTGGAAGCTAAATGCAACAACCAGCCTTATTTTGACAGTGTTATTGGACGTTACATGTGTTGAGAACATGACATGTAGTACTGCCGTGGTAGACTGGCATGCTTGCTCTTTGGCATGATACCGGGTGCAGTCGTAATGGTTGGTGATCCATTAGCATGGCAAGTTTGCATGCTGATATTAGCAAATTACCACTGTGCTTATATGCAGCCTCACAGAATTGCTAGCATTACTCTGTCCAGATTGCAAACCCACTTCCTATCCTCTGAGTGACTTGCACTAGCTGCAGGCTAATTGTTGTATTCCAGTGTATTTGTGATATGTTGTTGGATATTTGAAGATGATCTGTGATGTACACTTGGGTCTAAGCTAATGAGGTACACATAGCTAAAACTGATGCAATAAGGCATAAATAAACCTCCTTGAAGTTTTAAAGTTTTGTCTAAAATGTTTCAGAGAGGTGTTGATTCAACTTCATGGTCATTTTGAACACTGTGTGTGGGTGCCGTTGAGTTACTGGGAGGTATTTCTAATATTTAGTCTACCCTCACTGGACGTCATTGGACTACAGTGCAAGAAAATGTTATCTTGCACAACTATATCATCTCATATCTCCTCCTTGTCTTCATCCTTTCCTCCGTTCCACCCACGCAAATCCCCAACTTCCTATCAGAGCTCACACGCACACACACAAAAGAAAGCCACAGCTATGACCTCTTATCTTTTCCAAACACCCTGCCAGTACCTAAACCATCTGAGTCCATTTTGTGTCTTGAATCATTACATCATAGACCTTGCCCACAATCAAAACAGAAGTTTGGAAGGTTTCCCAGAACCATATTAGCATTTATACTTCCATTATCAAAAGTAATGTAGTGGAGTGTAAACACAACTAAACCTGACTTACCTTCCTGAATGTTTTAGAAACATAATTTACTGCAGTAGTTAGGCTGACTTTGTCCATTTGATATGAATTAATGGCAATCGTAGTAATTAAAACAACATTTAAGTGACTTTTTTTTTAGAATGAAGTATTGATTTTATCAATTTAAAAAACTCAAAACCACATTAAATTCCTGTTACATCCCTATTTTTCCCTGTAGTTGTCTATATAAAGGTTAGAAAGTGTCCACAACCATTCACACTGCTGAAGTGTCCTTGAGCAAGACACTGAATCCCTCCCACCTCCCAGGCTGCTGCTCTGTAGCCGACTCTGACCTCTGACCTCCTTTCAGTTGTGTTACTGTGTTTTTCTGCTTGGCCATTGACAGCTATAAACCATAGTGATGAGTGCATGTGAGGCCAATCTAGCTTCACTCAGTGACAGTCCTTACCAACAGCAGAGCTCCAGTATCATCTGTGTAAACACAGAAGAATAGCTTTAAGAGTGATTGACAGCTGTATGGGTGTGTGACGGACAGGCGGTTTTGTGCCTAAGGGGCTCTGAGAGCGACTCCCAGGGCGCACCAGGACAGCGCCTGTATAGGAACAACAAGGCCCACAGTGAAGATGCACAAGTTGGCGAGGGTAGGGGGTCGGGCAGGGTGGAGGACGGCTCCTCACCTCTGGACGCCTACGGCTTTAACAGCGGGGTCAGAGGTCACGGCTGGAAGTGGCATCCCTCATCAGCTTGTCTCATCACTGAAGAGGAGGAAGAGAGAGCCTATTTTAGTTAATGATAGTACACAAAAATGTCATTCTCATAGCTTGACTTAAGATAAACTAGTCGGCAAGATGGACGTTCACAGCAATGTCAGTTTGATACTGTTATCCATATGTTTTAATATGGACTTCTATCTATTATCTATTGTAAGCAAAGTTATTACCAAAACTGTTGTAAACATCCATCACAGTTTGCAGACTTCCAGATTTCATTTTGGCCTACTGTACTTGCCGTATAGTCTTGGGCACAGGTTTTCTGCATGCAGTGAGGTTTTCTTGCCGTTGTTTCTTGTGCTGTCACTTTCAGTTTTACCTGTTTGACTTTCAGTGTGTAACATTTTAAGCTTTGTTTTTGCTTTTGTTATTCACACACACACACACACACACACACACACACACACACACACACACACACACACACACACCCTTTAAGCACATAAAGATGTCTTGCAGATGCTGTTGTTGGATGTAACTGCTACAACCCATTTGTACTGCCTGATAAATACTAAACTTGCAGGGACAGCAATTTTACCTGGAGCAGGTAAATAAAAAACCCAAACAAAGTTCTGCAATGTTTACACACAGCAGTGGGCAGTTGAACCAGCAACCTTCCGTGTATGGGGGCTACCAGGTCAGCACATGCATATCCAATCCCAGAGCTGGTGAATGGGTTTATTGGTAAAAGCTTGTGGAGAGAAACACCCATGAATTATTTATTTTCTCTATCACACTTTTAACACACATAAACACACACACGCACTGTCTACTGAGTGTTTGTGTGTCACAAATGACAGAGAAAGTGTTTGTGTGTGTGTGTGTGTGTGTGTGTGTGTGTGTGTGTGTGTGTGTGTGTGTTTATTGCCATGAATATATGTGTGCACTTTTATCTGCATGTTTGCTCATGTATATACACAGGAGTACATGCAGTGTGTGTGTGTGTGTGTGTGTGTGTGTGTGTGTGTGTGGCTCCAGAGGGAAGTGTGTAAGGGTGGAAGATGCTAAGAGCTCTGCCCTAATGCACTTTTGATTTGAGATGATGAACAGAAAGGCTGTGCTTTTTTTTTTCTGCACATGCTCATAAACAGCAACACCAACACACACTATCGTTCCTCTTCCTCTAATAATCCCTCCTCCCCTCGCCTCATCTCTTTTTGCGTGTCTCCCATACACACACACACACACACACACACACACACACACACACACACACACACACACACACACATCTGTATCCACTGCTCTGGGAAGCCATTAGTGTGACCCAGCCTTGATTACTTATTTATGGACCCAACAGAGTGAAGTGAGGGGAGTGGAGTACCAGGGGGCCTCATTTATAAAACTATTGTTTGACTTCACCCAGATCTCACCACAGTTGATTTTATAATTTCTAACAATGTCAGCAAAAACAGACAATTGAGTTATATCCATAGTATTCAGAATGCCTCATGATGTATATCCGAGACAATGGTTTAATTTGCTTGATCAAATAGTTTCAAGGTAGGGGGAGTAATTTTTGGTGTTCAGGATTCTGGAAGTAGAAGTTCTGTTTATTTTCTGCTTTGACGTTGTACGCTGAGTGTTGGAGAACTTTAAAGGGCTTGGATGGACACGAAACATCAGCACATCAGTACAAAAGATGTGATGATTTTGTCAACTTCGACTCCCAAGGAGCAGTTCAGTGATACATCCATTTTCCGAGCTTAACATTCTGTTGCATGCACTGACAAAACATTCAGCAGCTTATATTAGTTCACTTTTAGATTCTGCAACAAAAAAAAAAATCCTTCTACACCTGAAAGCATTTATAGATAGATATTGTTGCTATTGTACAAGAGATGTCTAAAACTGTTGACAGGAAACCCAGACCTGAAAAGATGGTCACTTATTTAATTTATTAACTTAATCGTTGAGCAGGGATTCCAAGAGAGATGTGCATGTGCAATGGAGAAAACTTTTGGCACATGCACTGTGTGAGCAATGTTCATTCTGATTAATGGGTGCCATCTTGAAGTCTGGTATCCACTTTAACATATCCATGACTTTAACTCACTGTTCTCTATGCCAGCTTTCATAGACAGTCTTCAGCAGTTCATTACTTAGTAACTTGTTAGAGTGTTGACATTTCTTCATTTAAAGTAGGCTAGTGTAAGGTATTACAATTTGGACTGTCTTATTGGGGGTTTGATGGAGGTTTGATATCACTTTGGTCTCTCAGTGTTCAGCAAACAGCCTGCTACAGAATGTTACCTTGGTCTGGTAGCCTCTACAAGAAGTATTTTAATGTGACTTCAGGTACAAATGAACTTTGCAGTAATTATAAAGTTGTCTTTTGTGTATGTTGCATATTCTTAGCTGGCTAAGCTAGCTGTTGATGGTCAGTAAATACCTATAAACCATTCTAGCCGATTGTTAAATGTCAATGTTACCTTTTCAATTTCTACATCCAATACAAGATCAGATGTGTGGCCGTTGAAGCTTTGGAGTTGTTTAAAGGAAGCTTTGACAAGTGTAGACTGTGTAATGACAGTAATATAACAAATTACTTTTGCTATTGAGTAATTAGTAATGTAATTATTTTTTCAAAATTAATATATGCAGACTTCGTGATTGAATTTTGGCCTACTGTACTTGCCGTATAGTCTTGGGCACACAGGTTTCTTGCATGCATTCTCATCCGAGAATGCAATGAAGGAACAGCCTCTGCTGTCCTGACAATGACCCACTTTCTGCATTGGGCTCTTTAAATAAACATACAGTAAATACCAAGTTGGCAGATACTCAGAACATGGTTTACACTGAAAGTTGGGCAAAAATATAGCTCATTGGACATCCCAACAATGATCCAACCTACATTTTATTTTTGTGTCCAAACAATGTAGAAGATGGCTTTATCAATTATATTAATATATCCAATAAATATTGTGTCACTTTATTGATTAAATGAAGAAGTAGCACATGAAATAATTGTTCTGTTTGGAAACTCCTTTTTATTGGTTCATCTTTAGCCAGGAGGGTAGCAGCAGCCACACCACACCAAGAGGAACAAAGAAACAAAATCAAAAGACAAACGACAACAACAACATTGGTGCTCTTCATCTCCCCTGACCACTGTAAAATAAATACTGCACTCATCAACACCATCCTCATGATTATTGTTACCGCCATTGTTGCAACCATTCAAATAAATATCCATGAAGCAATACCAGCAGTGAAACAGAAAGTGTGAAATGCATATTGTTCCATATATAATATATTCATTTTAGATAGATTTCTATATATATTTGTTCCATATACTCTCCTTAAATTCTTTTACAACATACAAGATGCCAATTTGTACCAAAAGCGATGCTTGCTAAGACACAAGAGGAGAAGTTTACTGGTTATAGTGGCAGCCTGCATACGTACAGCATCACACAGGTTCCTGACACGAGCTCCGGTCCTGAGGGAAGAATGTCGGAAACGTTTGGAAATGTTTATGGGAAGTCTTGGAATTAAAAGATTTATATATTGGAACGCTTTATCTGTACACACAGATACACACAGCATAGCAGAAGTGAGGTATGGAAATAATGACTGCTGTATTGAGTCTGGTTTCTGACTGCACCAAGCTGCAAATCATCCAAAACAAAAATGTTTTTTTTTTTTTTTTTACTTGCCCTTTATGAGACAACTTGATAAAACAAAATGTCTGAAGGGACACCAATCGAATATATACAGTTTAAGACATCATCTCTTACTAAATTTCCTTTGAAAAATCACTTAAAATGAGAATCATCGGAAGTCAGTTTGCATTGTGCTCCCTACCCCCCCTTGTGCCACTCTGTGTGTATCTGCAGTACATACAAAACATCACATACTAAAGAGGTTATGATTGGACAACTGTCACTGTAAATATTTTAAAGCTACTCTGAACACAGATGAAACATAAGTAGTTAAAAAACAATTTCCTCTGCAACTTCATCCAGCTCACATAGAAAACAATCCGTGTACAAATGTTCCTCAAGTCGTCTCCCCAAGCACCAAGATCTGACTGAAGTGATCCAGCCATTGTAGAGGAGACTGTGTGTGTGTGTGTGTGTGTGTGTGTGTGTGTGTGTGTGTGTGTGTGTGTCTGTGTAGAACCAATCTGAGACCATGACCACAGTAATGCAGTTAAATTTGAAAAGTTTATGTTCACATTATTGTTTTCAAACACCACAACAATAGAAATGTGTTTGTTTCCTCTATCAGGCAGACCGGATGAACCAGCAGCGTCTGCACATGGCCGCCAAGTGGTTTTCTGCTGCTTTTGAAGCATTGTTTGTCATTCACAGAGCATGCATGCAGGATAGAATGTGCCAGCGAATTATCAAAAATGGCTCCCATGACCAAGCATACATCAGCATTTTTGAAAAGCTCAGTTTCTTCTTTTGTCTACATGACAACACGGGAGTGGCATCTTCCAACGTATCCACTTGTTCTGCTGTGGGTAGTCGAAAGCACTTGATGAAAAGTGAACATGTAGGAAAAATAAAGTTTTCAAATTCATCTGCCTTAATGTGGACATAGTGTCAGCCTAGGTGATTTGCATTAACATGTGTCAATTACATAGATTATTTTTGGTTGCCAATACTAATAATAATAATAATAATAATAATAATAATAATAATAATAATAAGTCATAGGTAACACTAAAAGTGGAGAAAGTTGCAACATTAAAAAAGGGAGAAAAAAAACATATTTAAATTGAGCGTGTCCTCCACAGTTGCCAACCTGTCTATCAAAGTGAAACCTTTGATGAGCACAGAAACATTTGGGGCAACATTCACACACCCTGAAAGCAAACAGCAGAAACACATTAAAACTAGTAAAACGTTTCTTATGACTCTTCACTAAGTCGTGTTTTACTTGTGTCATGATGTTCTATAAATGACAACCAAACCGTAAGGCGTGAATGTGAGTACATGTGAGTAAAGAATAACTTTGGTTGGTGAATAGCCTTTTTTAACTTAGCTTTCTTTGACATTTTTGTCAACTTTTTACATCGTAGAGTAATTCTGTCAACCTGCAAACCCTTTATAATCCTTAAGGCCTCAGTATGATTCAAACATACTTGTTGGTCCAACATGTCGTCCGACTACATCTAAAGGCAAAGGTGTTTATACCATGTAGAGCATACTGTATGAATCACAGTTAATCATAAAAATCGAACGCATCCACAGACTTCAATAAATGAAGAAATTAAAAAAGAATTAAAAATAGACCTTGAGAGAAGTTCAAACCCTGTCTACGTCCACACCTGTGCACCACATGATTGTCTGACTGTCTATAGAAATATGATTTGATACAGCTTCTAAATTTGGCCATCAGAAAAGGGGTTTAAGGCGCTTTTAGAAGAACCGCTAAGCACTTCCTTTGAAGCATATTGAGGCCTTTTATTTGTATAAAGTATACCAGTGATCACAGCTGCACTGATGTTATACATCTGAGAAACATTGTTTGACAAATCCTGATTTTGTTCACTTTCGGGCCAGCAAAAAGAACAGGGAAGCTTAGCTTTTGGGGGTTGATGGTAAATATGTATTTGTTGTCAAAAAAGTTATAATACTGTGCTATACTAAGGGATGTGGTGATGAATTGCTGTTACAACATTTTCTTAAGTCCTTATTCAGTGTTTGCTGTCTGAGTTGCCCCAAAAGTTCCTGAATTGATCATAAGTGGACTGTAAATAAGTAAATGTTCATTATAATGGAAAAACAGCCGTAATAATATCAATCTCATAGAAACAAAATAAAGCAGAATAAAAATAGTTATACAGTTAATAGCCCATATTTACATATAAAAATATAGCAAAGTAACATTTAACAAATCAGGTCAGTGTGTGTTTGTGTGTCTGTGCTTAGGTGACGCACCCTGACACACATACACACACACAGAAAAGCCCATATGCATCCACACATGAACACACCCACGCACACTTAAAAACATGTACACGCATACACTCTAGCGTACACACACGTGCACACACCTGATGCTGTGTGTATGTTGATTTTTATCAGCTTTGAATCCTTCCTTCCTGAAAAAGACATGCACTGTTGTTGTATTTATGTTTTACATTACATTTTGAACTATGTACCTGAAGTGCTGAATAAGTTCAGTAGAAGCATTGAAAGTCCTTTTTAACCAAAAAAAAAAAAAGGAAGTCACACTGCTAATTTTTTTAGAGCATGAATGGTCTCCATTTGACTTAATGGCGACGTCAACATCCTCTCTTTCCTTCCCTCCATCCAGCCTTTCTCTTTCCTCCCAGCATCCCTCTCTCCCCATCAGCTGTCTATCTGCCAAACACCACAACTCCACTCATCCTGTCCCCTCACATCCCTCCCTCCCATGCTCCATTCTTCTCCGGCCCATTAAGAGCTATCATGAAGCTAATTGCCTGTTTGATCAACTCTCTATGGACCAGGAACTGGAGGCTTTTAGCCCTCTGAGCGTAAGAGGAGAGACGGACAAGGCAGGAGGAATATATGGGTGTGTGGGGAAAAATGTTCTCAGCTGGCTTTCGCTGGTTGGGTTATGTTGAAATTGTTTTTTTCTCTTGTTATGTTGTAATTTCAAAAGAGACAATGAGAGGAGAAAAAAAACATCCATTTTTACATGTCTGTGCCATTTGCTAGAAGATTTTATTTTATTTTATGTTCAGTATGGAGGACTATCTTCCACACTTGAGCTTCTGGGAAGAGGTGTCTAACTCAGACTGCTGGGATATTCAAAGGTCATCAAAGCTGCATAACTCGATTTGTTGGAGAGGGATGTGCACAGCTCCACCACCATCAAAATACCCTGACACTTGAGCCAATAGCCTGAGTAAGAGGGAGACACAAAAATGGTTCAGAGAAAAGAGCATTTGATTTGAGGATGGGAGGAGCGTGGATTAAATGTGGTACGTGAGGAGAGAAGGATGGAGGTGGGGGCAGTGAAGGAGGTCGGTCAGAGGAGGGAGGTTGGCGACAGACTGACTTCGGGAGGAAACCCGACCAGACCCTCAGAGCTCTACTGAAGCAGCACTGCTAAAAATAAGACAAGGGAGGGTTCTTCTGCTGACAAAACAACATACACACAGGCTCTACATACACAGGTTGTTGTACAGTAGGAGGACACACACAGACACACACACACGCTGCCTGGTCACAATGGATGCACCCTAACTCTGGTTAAATAATCCCCCATTCAGCTCTAGGCTGCTGGGGAAAACATTGTCCATCTACCTCACAGTGCTTTTCCTTTACAAATGAGCTTAATAGCATTGAGATTCTCTCAGTTTGTACAGTGCATGGTCCCTTTTTTTGGTGTCAAACTGTTGTTGTAACTGTTGTTACAGGTGTGTTACAAGTGTCTTTGTTTTCACTTTATGCCTTGGTGCTTTTCTCAGACTCCCAGTCTGATAATCGCTACGGCACAGCGTTGGTTTCTCATTTCATTATCTTCAACCTTTTGTGGAGTTTTCTGAATGTCCTTGTGGTTGAAGTCCTCAATCTCCCATGTTTCTTCTGATTCTCTCTTTCTAGAAGACAGAAACTCTATTGGCATAGGCCAAACACATCGCCACAGGCGTCTTTCCTTCCTGATTTGGTCCATCCCCCGTCTGTGTGCTCTGTGCATTCTCTTTGCAAAGGGAGGAGGAAGGAGGTTCAACAATAAATAAATGGATTTTAAGACGTCCAGATTACACCACAAAATGAGAGAGAGAGAGAGAGAGAGAGAGAGAGAGAGAGAGAGAGAGAATTTCTGAATGGAAGTCTTGGTTAAGGTTGAAGGGCAGTCCAGCAAAGCACGACAGCTTCTTCTTTTTCAGGACAAGTTTTTGTGTTTAGGCATGAAGTCTCCAACATGAACAGGCACAGTAAAGCTTTGGTCCCTCCTGAGCTGGAGAAGAAGTAAATTCAAGGTACATTAGGTGAACAACACTTCACGGTTGGTTGGTTGGTTGGTTGGTTGGTTGGCTTGTCATATGTAGGTAGGTGGGTCACAATGGCATTGTCGTCACAATGTCAGCTGTGGCACTGTTGGCGACAGCGTTGCTTTGGCGACGGCGATGGGGAAATAGATTTACCTGGCCCCCATCCAGGCCTGTCATAACGGCTTCTCCAGGGCCTTGCTACGGAGTGAGGGATGACCAGGGTTAGGGTTGGTTGCGGAAATCTTGCGGCACACAGTGTTGGTGTTGCTGCACCTGCAGCCGGGGCGCGTGGCACGGTCGTGGGCACACTGGCACATGGCAAGGCACAGCCTGGCAGGGGGGTAGCAGCAGAGGCAAGGCAGACAGAGCGCCAGCAGCCCCATCGTGCCCCAGCGGGCACAGGCGTGGGCTGGAGCACAAGAGCATGGCCGGTCAGCACAGTTATCCTCATCATCCTGGGCGGAGCAGTGGTAGAACAGGCCTTTAACACAGCACAAACAGGTGCCATACTCCACGGCGCTTTCGGCAGAACATAGACAGCGTTGTCCACAGGCCCAACAGGAAGGCAGGCGGCGGGGGGCGCAGCACTCTTGGCACTTACAGCGACCACACCGCTCACAGATGAATAAATGAAGTCCCTGCTCAGCCTCGTCCTCTGTCAGGCCTTTACCCAAAGAAACATCAGGCTTGAGTTCTCCTTTAGGTTGAGAACGAACCACTGAACCTAAGCCAGAGTGAGATGGTGTCAAACCTGCCAGTAGCCGCTGGTCTGAGGTGGCACTGGTCCGAGACATGGAGGAGCTTATGGTACTGGAACGGCTCAGGTGGGACAGGTGAGCGTGCTGCTGCTGACTTTGGCTGCGGGGCAGGGCTGAGCGAAAGGAAGGCTGGGGGTGATGGGAGAATACTCCATGAGGGTAACGATCTTCATGGGCGTAGAAAAATCCGGACTGGGATGCCGGTTCCAGTGCCACAGGCCTCTCCACATAGTCATTGTTGGCCCGGATGGCACGTATCTGGTCGAGCGACAGCACTGGGACCTGCTGGAGGTCCAGCCCGTCCAGCTCCCCGCCGAAGGAATGAGCAAGGTCCATCCTGGTGAGCCAGACAGGGTGGCACCAGGGCTGCAGGCCGGGGCTGGGGCAAAGTGCTCCCAACTCTCACGGCACATCAGATAAACCTGCAAAAACACAGAGAAAGGAAGCGATAGTGATTAGTTGACCTGCTACCTTTTTAGTGATTCTATTGTCTTATCACACAAGCCTGTTATTATACAGACAAATGCAAGTTTTGCAAAGGCAAGTAGGGCTGGGTATTGTTTGAAACCTTGCAAACCTTGAAGTCACAAGCCTTTTCATGTCATTGTAAGGTTACAGCACTGAGGAAATTTACCAGACAAAGCACATTTATGTCATGTAATCGTACATGCCATGTAGTTATGATTAACATAATTATAATTTATTAATTATTCAGTGTAAATTGGCATAAAATGTGGTCCCACCTTAATTTATAACCTTTTTTTAAATAACTTATTTTGTTGTTCAAAGCACAAAGATATTCCATTATCAATAATAGAAACCCAGAAAAGCTTGATTTCATTTTGGAATTATATTTTCCAAAATGATTCAAGTGATGACTTGACTATCAAAGTTGTTATTAGTTAATTTTCTGTCAATCAAATAATCAGCTAATCAGCTTCAGTACTAAATGAAAGATGCATCTAACCAGAGCACAGAAAGTAGCTTTGCTTTCTTCAACTCTAAAGTTATAATCTGAAACATTTTCATCTAGTCTTAATTTTATTTAGTTCAAATGATATGATACAAGAAATATTCAGTCTATGTTCTGTGTTCACTGTTCCATGAAATATTTTCCATTTGCTGAACTAAACACATCCTCTGGTGCACAGGAACTGATGTGTTTTGTTTCTGGTCTGTTTAAAATAAACGGAAAAAGATTTGCCTAGTTAGTATGTGAACCAAAGCCACAATGACTGGACACAAAGTAGTACCACCTACAGAAAGTGAAAAACCACAGCATCATAGTCACACCAACTGTTTGATTAACTTTGTGGTTTACAACTTTTTAAGTTTTCTTTTGAACAGTGGAAACAAATTGAAATGGAGCTCAGGCAGAACAAATGCAACAGAAAGGTTAGAAATTGTAGCATCTGACCAAACAATCACGGAGTCACTGGTTTGTGTTTATAACATTATTATAAAAGTTTTTATCTGATATTGAGCAAGACCCTTCAGAACTGTTTTACCAACAAATATTCAAAAATATTCAAAATCAAACTAATTAATACATTTTGCTTGATTTTTGGCAGAAAGGGAACACCACATTACATACAGCAAATAGCCTTCATGTTATTTCCCAAATATTTAAGCAGCACTTGATCAAATATGGATTTTGGCAGCACAGTCTCCACACAGCCATCAGCCATGTCATCATGACCGCTGAGGTTCTCCACTGCTCAGGCTAACGCTATTATTAGCCTGCCAGAGCCAGATAGATGCGACCATGAGGTCCACACTGTAATTTAGCATCTGTTGAACACAGCTGCTGCTGCCACGGAGGAAACCCACCTGCAGACAGAGAGGCTGGCAGCATGGCCAAACGGAAAGACTAGAGGAACTGTAAAGTCACAGGTTTAATTCCAAAACAAATTCAAAAGCTTTACAAAAATGCTCAAGTATGAAAAACTCTTTGTGGATTGTTTTTCATTGGAAAGTATGTGGATTATCTGCAGTAACCGGGACATTGTTTCCGGAAAGATGTTGGCTTTTTGAAATATTTCTCTTGAGGTCTCGCAGACTCATATCTCAAAACCGTAGGCCTTAAAACTAAAAATATCTCAGTGGTTACACTGTTTTAGCTGTTGAGAAAAATCATCAGATTTCGGAATTTGTTTTGAGGCACCCTTAATGTGGTGGATTTTGCTTGTTTGTCCCACCTCAGCAACACCAAGGCTTCCCGCTTTTTGGCCAAATCTGGGTTTTCTGGCTTCAGTAAGTGATAAAAATGGGCAGTAAAGCCAATCTCCAGGCGTTCAAACAATAATAATTGGTACAATGTTCTTGTTTTTCTGCAGATTAATTATTATTGTTATATTAAAAGAAATCTCAGTTTCAGAAAATTATGACATGAGATAGCAAATAGTGCGTAGTGTATTCATTGTAATGATGGGTAAGACTGCAACTAAATGCTTAAAAGATAAATATAAATTTGCTTACGAGTGCAGTTAATGTATGAGCAAAAAAGGCTAAATTAAATAAAAGGTCTGAGTCTAGTTGAATGTGCAGCTGATTTGATTTACTGCTCAGGCATCAGATGAGCCCTGAGAGAAAATACAGAACAGAAAAAAAAAAAATGCGCTCAATATCTACTGCTTGCTTTGGAAGGAAAATGTTTCTTTTATATTTCTGTGTATAATAAAGACAGTAGAAACCCTCCACAACCAACATGTACAAATACTGTACACACATATATACACACACATACACACTCCGCTATACATACACAAAGAAACTGCAGTCTTGCCAAGACAGCTAAGGGGGAGAAATAGCTGGCTTGCTCCTCACATGGTGCCAGTCCTCTCAGAGAGTAATGAGGCCAAATGGAAATGCATTTAAAGCAGCTCAGATCATGAGATTAGATGGAGGAGGGAGGTAAGAGCGAGCAGCAGCAACTAACCATAGGCCACGTGCATGTGAATACAGAATCATAATCATAATAATCACCATTATGCGTTACCACCACCCTTTTTTAAGAAGTGGTTGAATGGATAGACCATTGTGAATCTTTTGGGTGTCAGTATGCTTCAGCTGTTTGTCGGATTGTAGAACAGCATTTAAATTAAACCTAGTCGGAACCACACATCGTACAGACTATTTTCTTTGGACCATAACCCAACCTTGAGTGTGTGTTGATCTGTTGGGTCTAAGCAGATTCATTTTTCCTTGCTTCCTGTTAAGCTGGAATTATTGTCCTGCAAAGGTACAAGTACTGTATATGTCTGCTGATCTATGCAGAGATAGGCGTGCTGGGCAATCAAAGGTTCACAGATGAGCCAACGTGCACACTTCCAAGTTTTTTTCCGGCAACATGTTGGGCAAACCCTATGTGTCATTCAAGCCGATTCTTTGATCAACTTTCTGTTAAAACGGGTTAAAAATGGAAAAAGAAAAAACAGCCTTGCAAAAGTCTCTGAACAACATCTCTGCATGTTTGCTCATATGCAGCCCAGAGAAGCATTTTCCAGCCCTTCATCATAGCTAATGTGCCACTGATGAATTGCAGAATCGGTTTACCTTTTTGCTGTTAATTGCTACTGGTTCACCCTGTCAGCGAAAAACGACCTCCACCACACAGGAAGTTATACATATCATAATACCAGGGTAGTTTGTATGTGCAGCAGTGACCACCTGTGTAGCAGCAGAGACGGAAACACAAACTTTGCATCATCAACCAAAAATTCCCTAAAAGTTAGCCCCTAGTTAGCCCCTGTTGCAATGTCTGCATGCTTGGATACCACATCAGCAGCAGAAACCACACAAAGGTTTCCTAAACAGATGGATGAGTGATATGGTTAACAACATGGTATGCTATGTTGTGATTAATGTGCAAAATCCCCTTAAAATAATGAAATTGATGTTTCTTGTAATGGGGGGGGGCTGCAACTAATGATCATTTTCATAGTGTACATTATGTAATGTACTTATCATTTTCTTGATTATTCAAGTAATCATTTGATCTATAAAGTACAAAACAAGTACATGTCCTAAGTCCCAAACCCAAATGCTGTATATATAAGAAAAATTGTGGTCCACTGTTATATGTGACATCAAACAAAACTCTTCACCTGTGTAAAACAAATTTGCTCAGAATCACCATTGGCCACATCATTTTATCAAATTTCATATCACCAGACGATTTCATTGAAGCCATATTAATGATCACATCCTATTATTGCCCCGTTCTGTGCAGTTAAATACAGAAAGTAGAAAAATGGCCTCAGAAAAATGCAGTGCAAAAGCAATAGGAGAGGAGATTGGGGATGTGGATGAAACCCAAGAATGCCAATCCATCACTGGGAAGGAAGGAGAGGTGATTAGCAAGCCGGACTGTAAAACAAAAATAAAAACAATACAAAAAGCTCTTCCTGTCCTTCAGGCTTTCAGAGGAGAGTCTTGTAAACAAATTGTGGCAGTCTGAGCATAAAGGTGCTCTACCCTCCAGCACCTTTGTGTATCTATCACTCAGTCCCCTCCTTCCAGAGGTCCAGCTATAAAGGAGCAGATAAGAAGGCCTAGGTTGGTTAGATGAGGATGCATTTTCAAATTAGTCCGAGGAGAGAGGAGAAGTCCTGGTGACTAATCTCATCAGGCAGAGCGGTGGCCGCGGCTCTCTCATACTCTGCCCGCCTATCAGCCCATCTAATTGTTAAAAAGAAGAGGCCTGCCGTCCATTTCCATGACCTCATATTTACTTACTGGTTGAACCAACCACTTCCAGCCCCCCCCCACCCAACCCCAACAAGGCAAAAAATACTGAGTCACAACAAAAAGTTAGAGACTGTGGCAACTATGATGGAAAAATGTAGTGGAGCATCCCTTCAAGTTCAACTTAAATTCTAAACTCAAGCAGTATGAACAAATGTAGAATTTTGGGTTTTGGACTGTTGTTTAGACAATATACAAGATTTCGAGACATCACCTCGAGCTGTGAGAACATTTAATGTGCATTTTTGAAAACTTTTTTCTGACATTTTATTGACCAAGAAAAGAAATGTCTGATTAATCCATATTAAAAACATATTTGCAGCTGTTCCACCAACATCCATCCAAATCTCAGCCTATTTCACTATAGAAATCCTTCACTGTAACCCTCAACTTAGTAGTTGTGACCTAAATGACCAGCGCTATATTTTTCCCACAATGGCAGGCAAGGAGTTATACACTTGAGAAAGCTTCCCAATATTTTACATTCATTTTTATTTTGAACATTATTTCTAGCATGCTCTGGTTGCACCCGCACATGACCTCAATTGAATACACTGATTGGCCACACTGAGGGTTACACTTGTTTTGGGCGGTGATGCTCAGTCTGGCTCTGCTGGGGAGTGTCTGTTATCAACCCTCTGGCAACAACAGCTGGGAAGAGAGCTGTTTGTGTGTG